TCTCCTTTCAGGCTCCCACAGCTCTTGAGCAACACATTTTGTGCTGACCACGTAACATGCCACAGGCGTTTTCTTCCCCTGTGAGCTCCCCCTCAAATTCCCTTGCAGATTTAAGAATTAACTTCTTTATTTCCTGTCTCTGCAAGCAATGTCAGAGGCCATGTAAACAACTTGCCAAGGGTCAGGGACCACAGCTTTATACAGTAAGTATGTAGGTAGCCTGCATACCTAGATAAAAAATAACAGGATGCTATATATGTGCCTGAGTTGCATCAGCACACGGCAGATTTTCAGAGTGGAGAATTGCCCTGAGGCAATTCAGGTTACTTCTGTGACTCAAAGTATTGTGGGAAAGTATTATTTCATTCTTCCCATGCATTTGTATTTTTTCTGAGGCCTTTCTAAGGGACAGGATATCAGACAAGTCTGGCCTGATGCAACTGTTCTTCATCCACTACCCTCCTGTAGGCTGGGGGCATATGGTGTCCCCTGGCTCTCCTATGGGAAATAACTAGATGATCATTGCAGGTCCCTTTCAACTGAAATAGTCTAGCCTAGTCTTGTCTAAAAAGGTGCCTGGGCTGCAAACTAATGCTTGCCCCTGTCTGCAATTCTCCTGGCTGATTTTCTTGTAGTCCCTCAACCCCCAGATCTTGTCACCACAGAGCAGGGCATTGTTAACACCTCTTATTTCTCCTTGACAGAGAACTTGTTCTCCAAATTCATATGCTTTGAAGCCAAATGCCCTCAGTTTCAGACATCAGGCTACCTCCATCAAAAATGAAAATGTAGACACGAAATGATGCTGTGTAGCATGTAGTCCCAAAGTCAGATGGCAGCTTCAAACAATCATTTATGGCATATCATTTTCATATCAACCAGAACTCATAAGGCACTTTCCAAACTGTCATAATTCCTTCTTTTTTTTTGCCAAGGGAGTTTAAGAGTTACACCCCACTATAAAGCTTAGCTCGTAATACTATGAAGCATTTCATCTCCCCTGCCTTATAAGAACAAATTGAGAATGCCACATTTCCCAGCAATAGAAGCTAACTCCAGCCAGCAAAATGAAGTATGTCTTTAGTAAAAATAGTAATTTCCTTTTGCTCTTCATTAACTATCTGAATCCTAACCAACCCTCCAAAGAATCCAGTGGTTTGTGTAAAATGGGGCAGTGATTGTGATTTGAACTCTGTTTCTACACAGCTGGAGAACATCTCCTTTTTCCTCATCCAGAAAAAGACATGAAAAATATCAGAAATGTCATCTCTGTTCTCCCACTATTTCTTTCATTTGTGATAAGGCTGGCTGACTTCTTCACTGAAGTTAAACAACACAGTGATTGGCTGATTTCGTTATTTACAATGAAGATTGCATTTCACTCAGATGACAGGATGAGGTTGATACAAAGTATTTATTTAGCCTTCTAACATCTATAATGCCATGATGGCATAGGACCAGCATGGATAAGTCTATGTGACCCCAGTTCTTGGAACAAGAGTAAAAACTGTCAGGGGATGGAAAAAAGTGTTGCCAGGATGCACTCCTCTCCAATAAAGAGATCTTGCCAGCATGGGGGTTTTTAAAGTGGCTCTGAAAAGAAAATATGTTTCTGAAAATGACTGGAGGGAAGAGGTAATATTGATTTTTCTATAACAGTTTAATCTACTACTCTTTATAAGAAAGCATTTAGTTCCTAAGTTTTCATTTGTGATCAGCATTAAGATCCCATCAAAATTAGCCTGTATCTATGTGAGCTACTGTGGTATATAACAGGGGTGGCAATCTTGATCCCCTTGTACTCCCTGTGTACAGTGAGCACAGTGTTCAGTGAAGGATACTGTCCAGATTTCACGGTGCGTAGGCAAAGAAAAGAGCATGAAGAGCCTGCACTACAGTTCCTCTGCAAATATTTACAAAATGGACCAAGCTCAAAGCAAATATTTAAATATATTTTAGAAATATTTTTTTATAATCACTGCCTTTTTAGGATAATTTTCTTCCAGAATTTGTCATTCAAGTAACATTTTTAAAGAGTATTTTTGCATTTTTTCCCACAATTTAGGGTTAATACATATCATAAGTTATGAGGGCTTTTTGCTGAGCTGAGAACCTCAGCTTCCTTATAGCCACTAATGAGGATTGTATTTTGCTTATGTCACAAACTGTATACTTTCAACCACTGCTGAAATTAGGAGAATGTCTAATTGAGGTAAAGGTATCCTCCTAAGGTAACTTTTCTCTACTGAGAAGCACTGAACTGAATTTTAATGCTGAGTGCAACGTAAAGTGAAAAAAGATTTATTCTAATGATTTTTTTTTCCCAAAACAAAAATATATGCATCCATGAGTGGCACATTTCTCCCAGTCTAGATATTTTCCAAAAATAAATAAACTGTTTCACACAGAATCTGCTCTGAATTTCAAAGACAGTTATGGAGAAGAGAACAGAGAACTAGATACTATATGCTTTTGCATAGGGCTGGTTAAACACTCTCAAAAAAAGAAATCTATGTCATAAAGGTTTTCTTATACATTGAAAAAGGTATCAGTTTCTGACCATTTTTTATTATTTTTTTTTTTGGTCTGTCCCAGAAAATTAATAACCTTAATATGTTGATTTTGCTGGATGGGTGTTTTTTTTTTATCTTAAACATGTTTTAACAATGCCATTCAGCATTCTGATAGGCAAATAAAGCTCTAGGAACAAAATGATAGAGTGAGATAATGCAACAGATACAGTATCAGTTGCTCATCCCCTTAAAGACAGTTTTGTACCTGAGTAAACATTTCTCCAAAGCCAAATCATTTAGCCCACCAGAATTCAAATTTTCCCCATCTCCAGAACAGCTAATAATGTGGCTAATTCAAAATCATTTTCACTAACCACATTATCAATTCAATTTGGCTTCAGAATAAGCTGAGATAGTTATGTCTAAGCTTCCAAAAATTGCTATTTATTACTATAAAACAATACTTGCATGGCATGAGGCAGTTGCCTTAAATTGAACTGGATACAATTATCATATGTGGCTATTAGAAACACAACTGCAAGTGATGATGTTAATACGAACCAAGACAATAAACTCTATGTTTGACAGTCACTGTGCTATTTCAAAATATCTTTTCTGCAAGACAGCAATGGCACAAGAGGGTGCAAGGTCTTTTCACTGTGGTGACATTAGTGTGATGCGGCAGTTCAGATTCCAGACTTCTCATCACCACCTTCCTAGAGTTATTTATGATCACAGGAAAAATCAGGACCTCTAGAGATCATCTAGTCCAATTTTCTCCAGGTCATTCAGGGGTTTATCATTATTTTGTCCTACATTGACTAAATGGAGTGTATATAAACTTAAAGAAGAAATTTACCTAATTGAAAAATCAGTCTCCAGTAAACTAGAAAACCAAACCCAAACACAGCAAATCCTGCCAAAAAAAAAAAAAAATTAAAAGCATCAATTCATATTAGAAAAATATGTTTTTTCATGGCTGCTGCCTGTGAAATAGTTTGGTGGTGATGCCAATTGCTGTTACCTCACTGGCAGCAATGGCAGGTCCTTTGCTGTCTAGGATCTGAGGTGAAAATTTCAACTATTTTTCCTAGTCTGTCCTGGATAAGGTGCAGTTTAACAGTGTGTTTCTTGGGAAAACAACTTGAATGAAGCTTATGAAAGGAGAAAATTACATCAAAATTGCAGCCCTTTGAAAACTTCTAACAGCATGAATTCAGTGTATGGCAGTCCTGATACTATTCAAGCTCATGCAGACTAGGGATGGACCAGATTCAAAACATAGAATCCCCACCATGCTTATTTTGTGGTTCTGAAATGTGTTTCATGGGGTTTTGAAATACAGACCTGTGCAGATTTGGGGATAGAGGGGTATATAGGAGATGTCCCCTTTCCTACCTTGGCCAGAACTGACCAGGATTGGCCTATCTTTTAAAGTCAGCAACAGAAAGGTTTAATTTCTGGTGCTGTGAACTGAGAACTTAGCAGGCTCAGTTATGGCTATCAGCAACCTAATTCAAACCCTGAATTTGTACTTCTGTCTCTCATTTGCCCTCAGCTTTAAAGCCAAATGCTTATACAGCTCTAATCCAACTGAAAATTGTAGCTCTCTTCTTAACTTTTCCATATTTTATCCCTTCCTGAAATCCACTCTTCAAAGCTGTACCTTCCTAAATTTGCAGCAATGCCACTGCTTAAAATGTGTGTTAGCTATCTGCATTAAGTCCTTCAGGGAAAGCAGACTACAGCATTCACCCTGGGGTTTACAAACACAGCCTTCTTTTGTCTGCCATTAATGCAGTCCCACAGCTATGCTCAGCTCATGCAAGGATGCAGCATATGCCAGCTAACAGTTTCCCCTTTCCTCCATTTCACTACATGTGGTAAATATGTAAGTCTCCTTACTGAGAGAGGCGTGTTCTGCATTGTAACGGGACATAGAAGTAAGTCAAGTCTTACTTCAGCCTGAAGCACTTTTCAGGACCAATATTGCATCCTAAAGTCAGGCTTTCAGAGCCTGGTAAAAAGCATCTTTGTGGTTATCACAGTTTTCTTGCAGTACCTACAGATACACAGTTGGTCCTGATTGTCCACACACTAGGTTTTAAAATGCTACCCTGTGTGCAAATCCTTGTGCTGGGGAACCTGTGTGCATCACCTGACCTGTATTCTGCTGGTGTGTCTGACCACTCTGATACGCGAGAACCACCCACATCACCACTGAGTCAAAAGATAAAATCCCCTGCTGCCCCCCTTTCCCTTTGTCCCCCCAGGGCAAAGGCACCCAGGCACAGAAAGCTCTGCAAAAGCTCTTGGCAGAAATGGTAACATTAGCAGAGAGCAGCTCTTGGGCCCTCCAGCTATGCGCTTTCTGAAGCATCAAGCATTCCTCTGGTGAGAAGTGGGAAGAACGGTGCCACACTTTTCTCCTCAGCACATCCATATAATGGAGGAAGAGATTTTCCTGTTAGCTCTCACTTCACTTACTTGACAGGCTGCAGCTGTGGTAATAAGTTGTTTCCAAGGTGAAAGAGGTGCCTAAGAGCTTTTGAAAATCTCCGTGAGTGCTTATCTGCACACCCTTAAATATGTGGCCCAAGGTCAGGGGGCCACCAAGCTAGGAGACTTCCTCTGGAGGTCACCTTTGAACCTCACTCATCAAGCGCTTTTTCTGGGGAGGTATATGAATGAGTGCCATGTGCTGTTAGGGTGAAACCATGGGGATCCTGGAAAAAGCTCTGTCCTACAGCAACCGCCAGCTCCCCATTTCATTTTGTGTTAGAAAACACATATTCTTATAGCTGGGGAAAATAGAAAGTAGTGTGGTAGTAGAAATGAGAAATAAATTGTGTGCATTTGTCAAAAAGTGGAGCTTTCTGTTTCCTTGGAAACTGAAAGTTTTGTGGGTTTATGGTATTGTACTCAGCAGAGAGTGGCTGAGACCTGTGTATGTACGTACATGGCCACAAAGGCCAGGCTCTCTTGGCTGAAGGTTTCAGTATCCACCACATGTTTGGTAAAACACAGCTAAAAGGATTTCTCTGACTGGGCAATTCAGAGACCATAATGGTGGGAAATAATTTTTTCAGCAAAAATAAATGCAGCTACAGGAAGAGAAAAAGAGTTGAAATCTCCACTTAGTCAACTGTGAGCTTTGTCTTTCTTTTATTGCAGAATGGAACTATGGCCAGAATCCAGTTTTGGCAGTTTTGTGATCCTCCTCTAAGTGGTCAAAGTACCAGCGAAACCTTCTCCTTTCATCTCTGGACAGAAACAAAACCTAAGACTTAGTAATTACAGCATAACCATACTGCACATAAGACAAAAAGTTAACCTCATTAAAGCAATATTTAAGAAACTAGCAAATTGTAAAATCCTTAGAGTCAGGGACAGAACCACCAAGGCTCACAGAAATAACATCCTGCCACCCTTTGGCTCCTCAGGGCTTTCAAACTCATAGCACTTTTCTTATAAAACCCCTCCACTTCCAGTTATCAGACAAGACAAATCTAGTCTATGGATTAAGCATTTGCTCAGAACTACTTCTCCCTCTAAGGCCATAACACCTCAAAGCTGTCAGCAACACTTGTCACCAAATATTCACTACACTCAGAGATAGAAATACATTCAGCTTTAACAAGGGCCAGCAGCAGTTTGGGAACATTTCTCTTGGCGCAAGAGCACTTTTCCCCAGCAGCTGTACAGCCCAAGGTGTCAAATAGTTTTTCCAGGCACCGTGTTAAAGCCTGAAAAATACAATTTTGATTTCCATTCGTTTTGGTGCATCGCTTCACCACTCAGTGTTTCAGCTCGGTCTGCGGGAAGACTGTGAGCAGGTTTCAGTAAAATTAAGATTTAAAGCCTTAGGGGCAAAGCATATAGTTAAAGGATGCAACAAGGGAACTGTATACTCAGTATGGAGGAAAAAAGCCAAAACAAAATTAATATATGTTCTCCTTTTCACCAAGATATGCATGTCCCAATCCTTAGCACATTATTTCTGGCCAATAGGTTTGTCACCGCTCCCCCAGGGGCAGAAGGGATGTCTGTTCACAATAGCCACGATAGCCTGGGTGTAAAGATTTTAGGGGAAAAATAATGAAAATTGTTTCAGACCCAATCCAAACATAACCGACACCTTTTACACTACATGTAGGAGAGAGTAGGACGCCAGCTTCCAGCTGCAAAACTGGAGAACAGATGTTTCAGCTGTATCATGGACACAGGTGTGAGGACTTAAAACTGGAAAACAATAAAGGGAACATTCATCCAAGTAAATTGGGGGGAAGGGGGGAAGGGTTGGTAGGCAACAGACTTCTGACATCCTGGAAAAGTCTTGCAAACAACACTGTGTCTATCAGGGCTTAAAAATTAGTTACTACAATTTCACAATCGATTTACCACCAATTTGAAGGAGCTCTACAATTGCTAATTTATGGTAGCTAACTTAAAGAAGCTAACCTAACATGATTTATCGAAAGCTGGGGCCAGCGGCAGTGCTCTGGGATTACCACACAGCTCTGCCTGTTCAGCCAGACCAGCCAATGCTTCATGTAGTCACAGCTCCCCTCCTTTTGGACCGTTGTCACCTGAGTGGCCTGTCAGGAGCTACATGAGAGGGAGGACTTGGTGACAGCTCTAACGCCTGAGAATGAGAAATATATGAAGCTTTTCACACCCTCTCCCACCAAAATCCAGCCAGACCGCAGCTAGGAGGAACTGTGACTTTATTTAATCAATGGCTTTCAGCTGGGTTTCATTTCTAAGGCTGGCCTCTCAAGGGGGCTAACTAGAAACGTGTTTGCAAACCAAAATGAAGAGTCTTGAGTAGGTCCTTGTAATGACAGAGAAGGTGATTGTCACCAAGCCCCAGAGGTGAGCAGTGTTTGGAGGTGCTCGTCACACAAGAGGAGCAGTAATACCACTAATAGTACACACCCAAAACCATGAACACTGCTTTTCTAGTCCTTCTCTCACCACCAAATGTTGCCAGAGCAAGACAGGTTCTACCATGCTCCACCACAGCAGAGGAAGAGACTTCTCTGGGCATTTGATAGTACGTCAAACTGGAAAAGACATTAAAAAAAATATGCAAAAATTCCTGCAAAGAGTTTTTGACCAGAAAAAAACAAACAAACAAAACAAAACAAAACAAACAAAAAACAACAACAACAACAACAAAAACAGAACAAAAAAACCCAAACAAATAAATCTATCAGCATCTAAAGAAAAGATGGGTTTGCTGTTTTCCTCTGGAAGGGCATTCAAAAGACTCACTGGGCCAGTTAACAAAATTTCCCTCTCCTCTAAATGCAGGATTGAATTGCACAATATAAAGCTTCACATTTTTCCTTTTTGTGGATAACTCTGTATGGCATTAAGTTGTTTGACAGCCCTGACAGCAATCCTTGCATTGCAGGTAGCACAGAAACATCAATTTTAATTCAGCATTTTATATGCAATAAAATTCGAAGCTCCTGTACAGGAGGAACTTCTAGAAGCCTTTCCTGAGGAAAGAATCAGCAGAACTTGTATGTGAAGGGATAGTGTCAAGGTGTGTGATATTGCCCTGGAAATCAGTCTCTGATGTGTATGTTTATTATGTATGTATAAATATTACATATGTTTATACACGTAAACTCACACATTTATTTCCAACATTAAGGTCATTACGTTACAGACATTTACACTTCCAAAGCTGATTTAATCCTCTTTATGTTATTCTTGTCAAGCCTCACAATGTCTTTCCAGAAGTTGTCAGTGCCGGCTGAACTATGTCGTTGAACTAGTTTCCAAGATGAATTCAAATATTCATGCAGGAGAGGAAAACAGATTCAAAGTCAGCTTCTAAATTGCAAGATGACAGATATTTCTTTTCATATATAGTCAAACATATCAGCCAAGGGAAAAAAAACAGAAGGGGACCTGGTAACCTATGCTAACATTTTGGACCTTCCCCTGATGCCACATTTGGCTGAGGATAGCCATCAAAATTGCGAGGTGGAACGAGTCAGGTTTCCACTATGTAAGCATTCTGTTTTCTAAAGTGCTGCAGTTCAGAAGTCTCTTTAGTAGGTGGGTTTAGGCCAACTCAGCTGTACTGCAGAGTGCTATAGAAAATCTGTCTCAGCGTGATCTCAGGAATCCAAACCTAGGTGATCCTCATCACAGTAGCTAGTGCTACTGTGAAATGAATAACAGAGACCTTGCTCATTACTTCTTTGATGCACAGAACAGGACTTTTCCTGTCAGGTTAAGTGGTCTATTCATGTGCATAAGACATTGTGTCAACCAATGCTATAAAAACCAATAGCAATGAAGAGTGGTGCCTGTTGTGTGAGATGATGTGGTTTGAGGCTTGCCTGACACCACATGCTTACCAGAACTCTGTGCTGCCTGGAGCACCTCTTTCAGTTCTGCATCTTCTATTCCTGGCATTTGATTTTATTTTATCAGCTTTTCTAGAACATCACATGGGTTTTCTTCCTCTTTATACTGCTTCTTACTACTTGATGTCTCCTCCTCTCCTGCCTCAAAGTCCTCCCATGAGTGCTGACAGCAGTTTCCATCTGATAGCGACTATTGTTCCAACACTTCAGCCTCTCATTCTTAGTGGCTGCAGCAGCCAGGATGACTGGGTGCTGTAGACAGTACAGCCCCAGTATGGAGAGTAAATCTCCAAGATGCACATATTTTCCCTCTTTTGCTGGGCAAAGACAGCATCTCCAATCCTGCTTTTAGCTTCACTTGACTGAGTATCACAACCCCAGCCCTGGAAGTGTTCAAGTCCAGGTTGGACAGGGCTTTGAGCAACCAGGTCTAGTGGAAGGTGTCCTCCATGGAACAGGGATAGGAACTAGATGATCTTTGAGGTCTCTTCCAACCCAAACCATTCTATGATTCTGGGTGAAGGCTTTTGTCAGTCTTGCAGATATCTTTCATTCTCCTTCCAGGTATAAATCCAAGATGTCATACTTTGAAGTATCTTTCTTTTCAGCAGTGTATTACACAAGCTCTTTTCTTTTTCCTGACAGTTACTCAGCTCTAGGGAAAGAAAGCACTGCAAGTAGACTTTGAAAATTAATTTTCAAAGGTCCATAAAACCATGATGTGCAGCAGATTTTTGGCATTTTTTATTGTTGTTTGTATGCTTTATTCTCTTTACAGGGTGAAAGACTTGGTTTGCAAGAGAGATACATATCTGCAAACTTAGCATGCTCAGATGGGAAACTCCCAAATATGAGTCTGGGGGCTACTTCAGGAAGTCCCTTTCTGAATAGACTGCTCAGCTTGGAGAACTTGGTAGCATGCCAGTAACACTAAGTAATGAAGAGCTCTTGCGTGCCTTGCTGAAGGCATCTCCGCTTTACAATTTAGAGAGTGAGGGTGGCAGAATTATATTGAGTCTTTGTGTAAGTGTATTGGCCTTCTGTTTTAGCTTTTCTGTTTGGTTGCTTCTGAATGGGTACAACAAATCAGATGGACTAGGAAGTGGAAAAATAAATACATCACACACCCTTATGCAATTTAAGTGGAAGCAGCATCTGATAATAAAGACTGCAGCTTAATGAGTTGCATCTAACACGCACTTATGTCTGTGAGTGCCTCAGCTTTGGGCTACAGTACCAAACTAGTAACTCAAAATCATGCAAACAAACAGACCGTATGTAGACACAGTTTATAATCCCATTGTGCAAAGTGATTACTACGTTACACAGATGACCAGATGCATTCATGAGTGAGCATCCCAGTCTGGACAATTCAACTCCCCACAGTGTAATCTGACAGGCCAAATAGTGACCTCACACTGGTTTACTTAGATTTTTTTCAGTGCATGTCCTGATTCACATCAGCAACAGCAGAATGAAACTCTAGATTCACTATTTCTTTCCTAGCGCTTTACAAGATTTGTGTGAGGCGTTTGTAGAGCAAGCAGGCAAGGAATGCTTTGGAAACCATTGAAAACCTGTACCTCACTTCTGCATCTCCAGGGAGATAGAGCATGGACCACCAAATTTACCTTGGTTTGTAACTGGCTGTGAAACAGGATGAATGGTCATAGGAAGAAACAACCAGCTTCCACTCCTGGGTTCACTGTATTTAAAAGTGCAGCAAGACCTAGAAGGCCTGCTTGTCAAAAGCCACACCAGGATGTCGTTTGCCAGCTGGTACATTTCAAAATCGAGGCACTTCACCACTGAACAAAGGAACTCTGCAGCAGCCTGAACTCTTCCAAATACATTATTGGGTGCCTGTGGAGATATGTTCATTCCCTGCTGGTATAAGCTGGTCTAACCCTAGCAAAGAAGCAAACAGGAAAAGGGGAAAATATTTTCCTCTCTGAAATTTCAGCCTAAACACCAAAGAAAAATGCAGTTGGAGGCAAAGCTCTGAGGAAAATGGGCTTTACCTGGACTGCAACAAAAATTCTTCTTGCCTGCAGCAAAATGAACATCAGAAAACTAGCAACCATAATCTCTTTAAAGATTTTACCCTACTTACAGACCAGGAAAGTCAGCTGGTAAAACTTCTGTGCTAGCCTGACTTCTGCCATCCTTTAGATAATATTGTGTCTGAGATGACTGTTAACAAAAGCAGCAGTGAAGAGATTCGGGTAGCTGCATGG